ATGTAAATAAGTTAAAAAGCAAAAATGTTAGAAAAAAAAATATCTACAAGTCAGACATCGACTACTGAAGGCTTGATTAATATAAGGTAATGCAAGTCAAGTCAGTGCTTTCTTATGGGACATCAACAGGATTTGACTGTATGACACCATGAGAATATGTAACCAGGGCCGCCACCAGAAATTTTGGGGCCCCTGACAAAGCACAAGGTCTGGGCCCCGCCCGGCCGGCCTCCCTCCGCAATGAATGCAGTGTGTGTATCAGTGCAATGAATGCAGTGTGTGTGTCAGTGCAATGAATGCAGCGTGTGTGTCAGTGCAATGAATGCAGGGTGTGTGTCAGTGCAGTGAATGCAGGGCGTGTGTCAGTGCAGTGAATGCAGGGTGTGTGTCAGTGTAGTCATGGCAATGCTCTAACGGCCGCACGTCTCGCGGGAGTTAGAGACAGGGAAATGCTGTAAAGTACAGCTGCAGTCCGCTGGGCCCCGTCTGCAAGTATAGGGAGCCGGGGGCCCGCTGCACCTATATATAGCGATCATCGCTATATATAGGTGCAGAGAGTAATTGTGGGGCCCTGGACTGCCAAAGCAGTCCGGGCCCCCCAGGACCGCCGGGCCCATGACAACTGTTATGGTTGTCACCCCCTGATGGCGGCCCTGTATGTAACACTTCGCAGTGGGTGCTTTTCAACCCCTAATGGGTGCAGGCCGCTTCCAGTCTGCACTGAGGGAACCAGTGTGTTGCCGTGGAAACCCACAGCAATGCGCTGATGACCTCATGGAGTGATTTATCTGGTCTGCACCAGTAGGTGGTGCAGACCGCATGTTCCATGCTATGCTGACTGTTTATTGGGATCGTTCAACTTCTCACAGCTAGCTCTGTACACTAGTTCTATGGCTGTGAAGGGGAGATAATTTGAACTTTGCCATCGTGGCCCACCGGACATGTGACCAATTTGCCAGTATTTTCCTAATCCATTCTTATAGACAAGCATCCAGTATTTTCAGATGTGTCACTTTCATAAATCACTGGTATGTTTTCCCAGACTATGGCCTTGATTTAATAAGCTTTCCAAATGATTCCATGTTGTAAAGCAAACTTTCCAAGTGATTTATCTACACAAGTCACCATTTCTGTAGATAAATCATTTGGAAATGTTTCTAACAGTATGGAGTGATTTGGAAAGCTTATTAAAGGAGCACTATAGTCACCAGAACAACTACAATTTATTGTAGTTGTTCTGGTGAGTATAATAGCTCCCTTCAGGCATTTTCATGTAAACACTGCCTTTTCAGAGAAAAGGCAGGGTTTACATCGCCCCTAGGGACACCTCCAAGTGGCCACTCCTCAGATGGCCACTGGAGGGGCTTCCTGGCTCAGGGCTGCACTAGATTTAATTTATTTTTGGTTTGTGGATCAGGTTTGGAGTGCAATAGTGGGTGATCTGGTGTTTGGCTGAGGATGAACAGATACTGCACCTTTAATCATGGGTAATAATCAGACAGTTCATGTAGCTCAAACACGAGCCCATAATAACAGAGTCCAATGTTGGGAAAACCTCAGTGATTTGTATAAAATTATCTCTGATATCTGTCTGCCTTTGCTTTCATCGCAAGGTAAAAAGATCCCATAGCATAGCTGGTGCCATATTGAAACAAGTACAGTGAACCACAGATATAAATACAGAAGGGGAAAGGATATACAGTGGGGCAGCGGTTAACATAATTTTCGGTTTACAAATGAAAATCCATTGAAAATAATGCCTCGGTTTACAAATTTGTTTCACAATACAAAACACGTTTCGCCAGGATGCATTGCACCTGCGAGGTTTATAGCACCGCCCCGTGCATGCTGGAGCCTGTGGGTAGCACGTGGCGTTGAGTGTGGAGGTGTTGGAGCGGCTTTTGCATTGAGTTTTGGAGCCATTCTGGAAATTGTTTGCAGTTGTTTTGGGACTTTTTGGTGCATTTCTCAAGCTGTGGAAAGGTAGGGAGCTGAGTTTCGTCGTTTGCATGTCTTTTATTGTGTGTTCTGCATTGTGGGTTGGTTTCCATGCCAGCTCATTTTGACTTTTTTCTGACCTCCAGAACAGATTCATTTGGTTTTCAGTGCATTCCTATGGAAAACCACGTTTTGGTTTACAAATTTTTCACAATAAGAAACATCCCAGAGAACGCATTAAATTCGTAAACCGAGGTCTCACTGTATATATGAATATAGTGAGACACACTATACCCAGTGATATATATGAGAAAAGGTATACTTAACAGTATGGATGGCTTCACTAGTGTAGGAGATATCTAAAAATGATTGGTGTGGTACCCAAGTTATATAGGTAAACATTGCAGTGGAGTCTTGAGTAAAAGATAACATCCCCCGACGGTCTTCATGTATCAAATCAACTTTGGAAGAGGGGATATCTGTGTTAAAATAAATATCAGAAGACCAATGTTATTAAACATGTAACAACATAACCGACAACAATGCGTTTCTTCGACTCTTGTAACTTCCTCAGGGAATCCGTGAAGTAAATTCCATAATCTGATAAAAATAATACATTGCATTAAAAAAAAGCCCACTGGATCACTGCACATTTCTCTCCTTCACAATGCAGCTTGAAAATTAGCAAACATAAAGAATTGAGCTACTTTGGCCTATATTTCCAGTTCTCCTAATCAAGGTTTGGTGAATAAACATATAGACTCTTTAGGATGGATGACTCATAGATAATGGTTTGAGAAAGTCCAGGGCTTGAGTTCAGTGAGCTGGATACTTTAGTAAAAGGTTAAGCACATGGTGCCAATTGAGCTGAATCACCTTTTATGTCTGTTCTCAGAAGGACCCATACATAGCCCTTATAAGCTGGTGTAAGAATGGCACGTTAACTGGCATTAGACATGTGTGCTATTCTCAAACTCATCATCCTTTCAAGGGACCAGCCTTATTACAGCTACACAGTGTTACTCAGGGGGCAGAATAATGTAAAGAAATTCTTCTATGCATTAGGACTGTCCCTCTCCTGAGCGCAATGCATGTTTGGTGATTTATTTACTTAAATAACATTATGCTTTACTTTGAACTGAAGGATCTTAACTGCTGCCGCCTGGAATGAAGAATTTAAGAGATGGCATGACCTACAGGCACCAGATGAAAGAACCAACCCCAAAACAAGGCAAGGGTTCCCTGCAATGACTCACTCCTGCTCAGCTTTACGAGGGTTCAGTGACATTTCCCATTTCTGAAGATTTGAGGTTTTTGGGGGATTTTGATTTAAATCCTTCTGGAAATGCCAATTTAAGGTAACATTGTGAATTTGAACATAATTTAAAGAATTTCATGTAGATGATGCTGATTTTAGAAACACGTTATGTCAGTTTGTTCTTTCATTTGCTATATGCTTACACATCCACAAGGCAAAGTCTACATTAGCAGGAACAAGCGAGAAACAAATAAGACTAGATTGCTAAACATTAATGGTCTTTAATGAGCAGGCGGAGCTGTGAGCAATAGCCAAGGGTTGCAGGGAAGCACCAATAAGGGCTAATAAGGGCTGGGACGAAGCAACCTAAAACTTATAGATTCACCCCACGAAACGGGGCAAAAGTCAGGACTCATTACAGATATTAGTCATAGTGATTCTGCTAACGGCCTTTGGAACGTAGTGAGTTAGTCCAAGGCCAGTGTTAAATTAAAGGGAAGAGATAGCACGGCGTCAAGGTTGCCCTTAGATCATGAAGAATTGATTTAATTAGTTTCAACTCTGCATCTCTAATTATTAGATTATTAGATTATTTACAAAGTTCCACCATGCTTGGAGCCTTATACACGGCTTCTAATGTCGGGTGCATGTTAGTTTAAATGGAGATTGTGCCCAGGTATTTACAGAGAATGAAACACTAGAAGAACATTCCCTCTCCATGTGTACTTGCCTCGTTTACCCCCTTTTTTTCTTTTCTCTTCTCTTCCTCCCTACCCCCAGTCTTCATTACCTGCCTTTATGTAAGGATTCCTATGTTTTCAGCCATTTGCCTACAGTTCTGCTCCTTCTTTTCTGCTGATAGAGTCACACCCACAAAGCTGCTATGGTTCTATTGTCCTTTCCTGAAACATTACTCTATAGAGTACGAATTTCTATAATCATATTTTGGCAAAATATAGAATGTTATTTTACATTTCTAATTTACTGCATTTCTCTAAGTCCTTGCACAAAGCTTAGTGATATCACAAACAAATGTCACTGATTTCTTGTCACGTTTATTTACAGGGAAAGGCAGCATGTTCTATTCTAGGCCACAAGATCCTTACATCAAGTAGGAAATGTCGGAATCCGGTGTCGAGCTCCTAGAACCTCTCTCAAGCTCCTGTGGTTGAATTCCTGAATTGTGTCTGAATTGTTGGATTGGCATCCTTGGAGTACAGCAATTATCTGTGACAGGACTGTGCACCGTGTGTAAAGTGACACCTGTAGAAATGAGAAATGATTCATTTGGGCAATGTAAGTGTTATCTGGAACACAGTGTATGAATAATGGAAATGAGCCTTTCACTGGTTTATATTATTATATATTATTATACTCTTTTCTACCAGCACACATGTAAGCCATGTCTTTGTCTCTGCTAAGGTCTACAGCCTATTCTTATTTGTTAAGAGAAATGTTGCAGATTCTTGGAGCTGGTATCTCTATTTCTGTATAAATGGAGAATAAGTGATCTGGATATTTATTTGGCCCAACTTTTCTATTGCTTACTGTAGTGTAGTCACGTAATTCTGAATTGCTTTGTAGGGTGAAAAAAAGAAATAAAGAAAGTATTTGCTTCCATTTTTTCTATGTTATATACCCAGAATACTCCCAACTGACAGGATTATTTACTAACGTGACAATTCAAAGTGAATATCAAATGTAAAAGTAGCCGGTCTAGAACAATGGCTGACACCGAAATTTGCCAGTTTGGAAATTCTCTTTGATTCTCTCATTAGTTAGTGAATAACCCTTTTCATGGATTCAGTGCCATGCTCCCTAGTGACCACTGACAGCCTACCACCAACACTATTTCCTTCTTTACCAATATGACGTGGGCAGCACAATTAGCAGGAGGAGATTTCTTACCATTGTATATATTTTACTGGATACACAGGGAGATATTTATCAAAGTGTTACCTTTCATGTTGGGCAATTTTCATGGAAACCAACAAAACCATTGGTGATTGCTGCACTTTATATATCATGAATCTTCCAACTGCTGTCACAATGTACAGCTCTCTACCTGCCAGTCTGTGTTATAGGAGGAGAGCAGGTTTCATGGTTACATTGTGTTACACTTTTACTCTTATATTGTAACCTATTTTCATGATATATGTGAGTGTGCGTCTTCTGATAATGAAATTTACAGCCTGCCTCCATATTACACCATTCAGTGTATAGCCTGCCTCTATATTACACCATACAGTGTATAGCCTGCCTCTATATTACACCATACAGTGTATAGCCTGCCTCTATATTACACCATACAGTGTATATCCTGCCTCCATATTACACCATTCAGTGTATAGCCTGCCTCTATATTACACCATACAGTGTATATCCTGCCTCCATATTACACCATACAGTGTATAGCCTGCCTCCATATTACACCATTCAGTGTATAGCATGCCTCCATATTACACCATACAGTGTATAGCATGCCTCCACATTGCACCATACAGTGTACAGCCTGCCTCCATATTACACAATACAGTGTTTATCCTGCCTCCATATTACACCATACAGTGTACAGCCTGCCTCCATATTACACCATACAGTGTATAGCCTGCCTCCATATTACACCATTCAGTGTATAGCCTGACTCTATATTATACCATACAGTGTATAGCCTGCCTCCACATTACACCATACAGTGTACAGCCTGCCTCCACATTACACCATACAGTGTATAGTCTGCCTCCACATTACACCATTTAGTGTATTGCCTGCCTCCATATTCCACCATACAGTGTATATTCTGCCTCCATATTACATCATACAGTGTATATCCTGCCTCCATATTACACCATACAATATATAGCCTGCCTCCACATTACATCATACAGTGTATAAATAGCGTGACTCTATATTACACCATAGAGTGTACATCCTGCCTCTATATTACACCATACAGTGTATACCCTACCTCTATATTACACCATACAGTGTATATCCTGCCTCCATATTACACCATACAGTGTATACCCTGCCTCTATATTACACCATACAATGTATAGCCTGCCTCCATATTACACCATACAGTGTATACCCTGCCTCTATATTACACCATACAGTGTATAGCCTGCCTCCATATTACACCATACAGTGTATACCCTGCCTCTATATTACACCATACAGTGTATAGCCTGCCTCCATATTACATCATACAGTGTATAGCGTGACTCTATATTACACCATAGAGTGTATATCCTGCCTCCATATTACACCATACAGTGTATAACTTACCTGCCTACATATTAAACCAAAGGGGGAAAAAACAAGTTGATATTTAAGCACCCCAAGACATTACTGTTGTAGGTAAGTGTGTGTTAAGTGTATATAAAACGGGAAATACAATTGTGGACGGACGTTAGCGGATTGTCACGCCATCCAATAACATGCTACCTCTGTAACAACTGCACATATAAACTTGCTGTACAGTGCTGGAGATATGTTGGCGCTACATGAATGCTATGTTGTTTTAGTTTTGCTGGGTCATCTCACACAGCTGTGAAAGGCTTTCCTTCCCCTGGGGAAATGTTTTCCTGACAATGTTTAATTGTGTGGAAAAAGGTACATTCCAACACACAGAATCAAAAGAAAGACAGAGTAGGTTGTATTGAAATATCTCGTATTTTCCTTTATAAAGAGGCCAAGAGATCCACCCTCCCCCGATGAGCAGGATTGTGAAAGTGTATCTGATCTCCCACACTGGATCCATCCTCAAACACTTCATTTCACTGCCGCTCCTCACACAGACAGACCTGCACACACACTTTATTTTTGTTCCATTAATCTGCCCCTAGAATCTTGTTTTGTCACAAGGAGAGATATTAACCTGTGACCCAACAGTGACCGACTGGCTGTCATTGGCAGCCACCTTCACTGGCAAAGGCTCAATGACGGGGCGAGAAGATAAGAGAACAAAGCCACATTGCTTCTCCTTTTCCATGGGACAGGTGACCTTCTCTTGACCCTGAGCTGAGAAGGTCATCAAATGGCCAAGGAGATTGGAGCGGCTGATCTCCCCTCTATAATGGATTAAAGGATATAAATGAATATCAACCCACGGCTTCCATCTATATTGTATGGAACTCTCATCCAAAGCACTGTATGAAGACTACAAATTACGCCAGACAGAACAATTTATCTTAGAGATACAGGAACAGCATGTGGGCAAGTAACACTTTCATATGGCCCAGGACTTTACAAAGTATTGATGATGTTTTAAAACTATATAAAAGATAAAGACTCAATTCAAAATAAAGGACAGGAGCAATCGTGAATCAAGTAATTTCATTAAGGCGTTTAAGATTCAGCTAAGATAGAAACTGGAGAAAGGGGTATAGAATATGACATATTATATGGGTGTTTTTCTTACTCACTCCATAACAGCTCTGCAACTTCTGAGTATTTTATAAAGATATATAAATAATACCATAAGACATAGTAGGGACATTATTTTCCTTATTGTGAGTCATGATCTACAGATCTATGTAGTGATCTATGCAGTCTTACAGGATCCTCTATAGACCTCAGTGGTGCACTCTTGTGCATGCGCAATAATACAGCATTAATGTAGCTTAGTGATGTCCCGAACGGTTCGCAAACGATTCGCCGCGGACTCATCATTGAGTAAACTTTGACCCTGTACCTCACAGTCAGCAGACACAGTCCAGCCAATCAGCAGCAGACCCTCCCTCCCAGACCCTGCCACCTCCTGGACAGCATCCATTTTACATTCATTGTGAAGCTGCATTCTTAGTGAGCTGTCCAGGAGGTGGGAGGGTCTTTGTAAACCACACTTACTGGCCAGTTCCACATTCCCCACTTTACCCCAGATTCTCCAGCCTTTTCTGCATTCAAATTGCCCTCTGCAGCACCCACCCGTTCCACTCGCTGGTTGCCCTCCCCGGTACCCACCTCTTCCCCTTGACAAATAACTTCCTCAGCACATACCCCTTGCCCTCGCAGATTGGATCCCCTATTCCATGAGAGTTGCCTTACTCTGCACCCACTGCTTTCTCATGCCAATTGCCTTCCTCTGCACCCACCCCTTTCCCATGCCAATTGCCTTCCTCTACACCCACCCCTTACCCACACCAATTGCCCTCCTCAGCACCCACCCTTTTCTCATGCCAATTGCCTTCCTCAGCACCCACCCCTTTCCAATGCCAATTGACCTCCTCAGCACCCACCCCTTCCCCATGCCAATTGCCCTCCTCTGCACCCGCCCCTTTCCCATACCAAATGGCCTCCTCAGCACTCACCCGTTTCCCATGCCAATTGCCCCACAGCACCCAACCCCTTCCCATACCAATTGCCTTTCTCAGCACCCACCCCTTTCCCATGCCAATTACCCGCCTTAGCACCCAACCCTTTCCCATGCCAATTACAAGCCTTAGCACCCAACCCTTTCCTATGCCAATTGCCCTCCTCAGCACCCACCCCTTTCCTATGCCAATTGCCCCCACAGCCCCCAACCCCTTCCCATGCCAATTGCCTTTCTCAGCACCCACCCCTTTCCCATGCCAATTGCCTTTCTCAGCACCCACCCCTTTCCCATGCCAATTACCCGCCTTAGCACCCACCCCTTTCCTATGCCAATCTCCTTCTTCAGCACCCACCCCTTTCCTATGCCAATTGCCTTCATTAGCACCCACTCCCCCATGCCAACTAACATTGCCTGGAGCGATGTGCATTATATTGCATTATATTGGGGTAGTTTTGTCACCTATTAAATAATTACATATTTCCTCAAACCAGAGCTAGTTCTTAATAAAAGATTCAAACAGGAGACCAGATACATGCTGGAATATAAGTAATTTTATTGCATTACGAAATGTCCCTTGTTTGATGCAAATATCCATGGGTCAGCAGCGACCTCCAGGAAGTAGCTGAAAATTCTTCAGTAACTTGTTTATGGAAAATGTTAAAGAACTATTACTGCCTCTGTTCAAATATTCTGCCCTAATAATCCTTAGATGTTTTATAAAATGCTAAAATCAAATAAAATTTGTACTTTTCTCATTATCAATGAATGTAAACTATGTCAATCTGTGAAGTTACAATGTCATCTTTCTGACAGTAACAACGTTAGTGTTGTGAAACTGCCATACACTGAAGATAGCAAGGTCTGTTAACCCTTTGAGAAGGAGGGTGTACTTGGAGTGCAGAATCCTTCCCTATACACGTTCCCTGCTGCTGCTCACATTGTTACCGGGTCTTTCTTTCCTTATCTTGTTTAATATGTAAAGAAACTCCTTCAGTCAATGGCCTCTCATGTTTCTACCTGTAATCCCTTGTTTTATCGCACTGGCAGGGGCCTCTAAAGATACTGGATGCACAAACTAAAATCAATATCTCAAATAGAAAATCCATCTTATTTTATAATCGTTTTAAATCGTTATAAAGCATAGACTGGGATTATAAGTGACTACATGTACATTGTTTGCTGTCTGTACTATAGCAGGACTAAGATTAGTCAATGCTACTTCCAATTCACATGCTACATACTGACTAAATATGCCCTGTATTAATGCTACACATCCCTCACAAGCATCAATATCCCAGACAAAGTATAACAATTACAACTGTTAGAAAGCCAGGGCATTACTTGAACTTTGTGACAGTTCATTTTTGGCAATCAATAAAAACTAAAATTTTTATAGAAAGTGTATTAGATACTGACACCTTCAAGAATGCTCAGGATGTGCATAAGGTTAACACAGTAAAGGGATTGAAGAATGCTCAGGATGTGTATAAGGCTAACGTAGTAAAATAATTGAAGAATGCTCAGGATGTGTATAAGGCTAACGTAGTAAAATAATTGAAGAATGCTCAGGATGTGTATAAGGCTAATACAGTAAAGGAATTAAAGAATGCTGGGGATGTGTATAAGGCTAACACAGTAAAGGAATTGAAGAATGCTGGGGATGTGAATAAGGCTAAGGCAGTAAAGGAATTGAGGAAT